TGTGATGTCATCATCAACGTGTCAGTAGATGAACACATGATTAATAACTGCAGCTGTATTGTGTCTTGTTCTCTCATCAGATTCCTGTGAACTCACAATCGACACAAACACAGTAAACACACAACTCAAACTGTCTGACAACAACAGGAAGGTGACACGTGTGAAGGAGGGTCAGTCGTATCCTGATCATCCAGACAGATTTGACTCCCGGGATCAGCTGCTGTGTAGAACTGGTCTGACTGGTCGCTGTTACTGGGAGGTCGAGTGGAGAGGAGACGTTGATGTATCAGTGAGTTACAGAGAAATCAAGAGGAAAGGAGGCAGTAATGACAGTTTGTTTGGATACAATGATCAGTCCTGGAGTCTGAGCAGCTCTGATAAAGGTTACTATGTCCTTCACAATGACACACAAACACACATCTCCTCCTCCTCCTCCATCTCCTCCTCCTCTGGTAGAGTAGCAGTGTATGTGGACTGTCCTGCTGGCTCTCTGTCCTTCTACAGAGTCTCCTCTGACACACTGATCCACATCCACACCTTCAGCACCACATTCACTGAACCTCTTTATCCTGGGTTTGGGTTTGTACCCTGGCATGATTCTGATTCCTGTTCTGGTTCCTCAGTGTCTCTGTGTTCTCTGCAGGAGGGAGAGTCTCCTCCTGGTGGAGAACCTTCCTCACTGCTCACCACATAGTTCAGTCTGTGCAGCTGATGGTGGTTCATGTGGGTGTAGATGCAGGTGGAGCAGGTGAGGGGTACCTGAGCTGGTCTGGACTCTGGGGGGTCCACAGCTCTCTGGGACTTGTGGTGTTGCAGATGGAATCAATAATTATCATTTAGATGTTTAATCTTCATCTTTATGTGTCACAATGTTCAAGTAGACGTTTGATAAACGACAAATAAGAAAAATATGAATAATTATTTTAGCAGATTTCTACTTCAAATGTTTAATGAGATAATATCAGGTGCTTCTGTTTCTAACAGTATATTTAGTCCCTCCATGTATTACTTTGCTGACATACTTGTATGATTAAAGTCTTATTATTGCAGCAGGAAATTAATAATAAAAGTGAAACAATCGTCTCAAAAGTGACTTGATTATTTAGTTCTTTTCTGCATTTTAAAGTTTGTTTTCCTACTTCAACTATTAAGTTATAACACGTTTCTACATCAATGTGTCGTAAACACTTATCAGAACAAACAAAGACGACATCAAATCAAACTTTATTTCCTGCACATTTAAAAAACAAAATGAAAGCAGAAGCTCGTTTCCTCTGGATGGAATGAATCCATCAACGCTGTGTCTCCCACAGAGGAAACGAGCAGATAAAACCAGTCACATGATCCCTGTGTGTTTAAAGTCTCTCAGTGGAACGAGTCCCCACTCGTCCCGTCTTCATCCGTCCTCTGTGGACCGTCGCCATGGCGACCGTCACTCGTCCGAGCCGGCTGAGCGTTTCTGGTTCCTCTTGCGAGGAGATCTTCTGGGAGACGCTTTGTCTGGAGAGAAGAAGAGAAGAGAAGTCACCTCCGTGATGAAGATGTTTCATTCTGTTTAAACGGAGGCTGAAGACGTTTTGCTGCGTGTTGTTCATTAGTTATTTCATCTCTTAAGCGACACACACACACACACACACACACATCTCACCTCTGCGACTCTGCACTGGAGACGCAGGGAAACATGAGAGAGAAACAGTGAGTGACCCTCATGCAGAGTGGAGGTTAAAGGTCAAACAGGGAGAGAACAGCTGATTCTGCGAGAAAAACGGCAGCAGAGATGAAAGCGTCCGAGCAACAAAAGAATGTCACTTTATGTCTTTATGTTCTCTACAAAACCTCTGAAGCCTTTTAGATGCTTTCAAATATTCATCATGAGGATCAACTTCCAGAAGAAGCAGAGAGACAGAAGGAGACAAAGGGAGAGACAGAAGGAGAGAGGAGCCCTACTGATCTGGTTGAGGGTCTCCTGAGGGATCCAGCTGAGGTCCACGTCGTTGTGGCTGGAGGTCCCCATCTCCACCTTTGGCGCTGGGCGTCTCCTCTGAGGACAAAGAGTCAGACGTGAGGACACAGATTCTGCTCGACATCCAACTCTGAGCTGCTCAGAAACGATGACATCGTCGTCACGTGACCGACACAGATGCTGCGGCGTCTGACTGGAGTCCACATCTGTACCTTCCTGGACTCGATCAGCTGGTGAAGCCCGACGACAACCAGCAGCCCGAGGCCCGACAGGAAGACGTAGAGGAAGATGCTGCAGAGACGAGGAAGAGGAGTAAGTGAGGGAGCAGGACGTGAGACGGAGGTGAGGCGGCGTGGACGCTTACGTCTCTCCGTCCAGTCCGTCCTCGCGCTCCGTGATGGTGACCGTCTGGTTGAACACGGCGTTCTGGAAGATGTTCCCCTACGAGAAGACAACTTTTACTCATTAGAGACTTTCAGGGACGAGTGAGGACGCCTCGGGACGCCGATGTGCGCTCTGGTTACTCCGATGAAAACGAATCCCTTCTGTGGGCGTCAGAGACTCGAGAAACCAATCAAATCTATCCCCATGGGGGGGCGGGGCTTACGTTGGCGTCCTTGTAGTTGAGGTTGATGACCAGGCCGAAGGGCCGCCCCCCCATGGGCTCGGCGGGGATGAAGGAGTACTCGAAGGTGGCCTGCCGGCTGGCGGGAACCTCGATGCCGAGCTGCAGCGCCGTGAAGTTCTGGATGTAGAACTGGTAATCCTAAAGGGAAGGGGGCGGGGCCAGAGAGGAGCGCCGATTACATCACCGTGAGAAATAATAACGACTACTTTCGCTTTGCTCGAGTCATCTACAGTAGTTTTCTCTTTAAAAAAGGGAATAAAACATTGATACATTTAGAAATTGTATCAATTATTCATGTCGTCTTTTTAATGCTGTAAAGTTCTTATAGTTTAAGAAGCTTAACGCATAATAATTCATATCTGCTATTTTATATTAAAAGGAAAAGTTTATCACTAAAACTACATTTTACATATTACCCATGAACACATCGCCGTACAGTTGTAATGGTCCCCGAACGCATCACGGAGAGGTTAAAGGTCGTGGTTACCTGTGGGTAACGGAAGGAGGCGTCAGAGACTCCACCACGAAGTTCTCCGGTTCCTTTGTTGGAGAA